GAACTTAAAATAAATATTTAGGCCTAAATCTGAATAGATACTAGAGAAGAGCTTTTATCACAATTTAGCCATACATACCACCTTTTTTTTTTTTTTTTAAGAGACGCTTACAAAGATCTATAAACTTTTTGGCTTTGTTATAAACAATATAGTTTATTGTAATCACCACACTCAGCCTGCGTTTGTGTTGCAGTAGTTACTCTAGCTAAAATAAGCAAGTTTACCTGCTAGATTCACAAGTGAGTTCAAGGCTAGTAACAAGTAAGGAAAATAAGTTTCCTGGGAAAAGCACAAGAAAAAGCAACTGTTTCTGTGTACTACTTAAAGATGTGGAGGCCCCTAAGTGTAAGGACTAATGACAAGTGTTTATGTGCGTTGCATTTTTTATAATCTGTATCATGAAGTTTTGTTAAAGGAATCAAGCCTGGGCTTTTGGGGGTCTCTGTTACAGGCTATGTGAATTCTTAATCCTCTTTTTTTTTTTAAGCCGTCATTATGTTGAGGATATAAAAATAATTATCTGAATGAGGAATGTTCCTGAGTATGTGATTTGGAGGAACATTGGGGGCAAAATCACTCTCCCTACTCTGTTGGAAACAGTAACCAGAAAGAGAGAAAGTGGATGGGCATAGACAAGCTCCTGGTATTGTTAGGAAGGTCCTGCTCTTTGGCTTTGTATAAGGGGGTCGCGGGGTGTGTGTGTGTGTGTGTGTGTGTGCAATATTTAAAGTGCCTGGTATCCATGGAAACACAGTTTGTGATACCAAGTGGTACTTGTGTTTCAATGATGTCATACAATTTACAGATCCACACAATGAACCTGTTGTTCGTGGACCTACAGAGGAGTTCAAATAATTTTGGAAAAACCACCTGAATACCCATAGAAAATGAGGTTTAATTACATATGTACGCATGCATGTGCACACATTAGCTTTCTTTCATGCTTTAATTTTAAGGAATGACAATTTCATTAATTCCTTAATCTTTTGAGTTTCAATTCAACTTTTTTAAAAAAGCAAAAACTGGCACCCATCGGATTTCCCATTGTTTCATGTTTTTGTGATTACGTCTGAGAGCTATATACACTTTTTGTACTAGTGGGAACTTGCAGAGAAATAGATGATGAGGACTAATTACTCTTGTCAAGTTTATCCGTGAGCTGTGCGGTGGTAAAGAGGCTTATAGAGCTGGAAGTATTTGAACTAATTGGTTAGATTAAAGCAGTGCCATTAAAAATATTATTTTTGAATTGAGCATTTAGCCTAGCAGTTAAGATGCCTGCATCCCACCTCGGAATACCTAGGTCTGGTTCCAGCTTCATGGCAATGCAGGACCAGTGATGGTGGCTCACTAACTGGGCTCCTGCCTGTCATGTGGGAGACATGGAGTGAGTTTCTGGTTCCGCCCTGTTGCAGCCCTGGCTTTAGTGGGCATCTGGGGAGTAGACCAGCAATGGGTGCTCTGTCTGTCTGTCTCTGCCTCTTTGCCTCTTAAGTAAATAAATAAGTAGTTTTTATTTTATTTTTTTCCTTTTTTCTCTTCTATGTTGTAAAAAAAAAATCTGGGAAGGAATTGGTAGACTGACTTAAATGACCAAATTGGCCTAAATAAAATAATGGTTTCCTGCCTTTATATGTAACTTTTGCTTATAGTTCTTTCTCCAGCCCAGAAGGCAGCAGGTTCACTGGTGTTTCCTTTATAAAATTTGCATCAAGAATGATGCCTCCATTCTGAGGGCAGTGGAATATTAGGATCTGTTTGATGATATCATTTGGAAGTTTCCTTTTGTTAGAGCCAACCTATACAATTTGTTTTTTTCCAGAATATTTCCAAGAAAAGGCTTATTTAGATTCATTGTATAATACTAAAGATCATTCGCAGTTTAAGTCAGTTTTTTTCCCTTATGTTTTATTACAGTGTTTTTAGTACCTGGCTTGAATAACACATGAATCCATTGTTTCTAATGTGTGAAACAAAGAATAAGAGGTAACGTTTATTGAGGGCTTACCGTATGCCAGATATTCTTATTAATGCTTGACATATCTTACATACCGCTCTCCACATCCCTAGAAGGTGGAACCGCTGGGCTCCCGGAGGTTGGGTATCTTGGCTAGAGTCTCTCAGATGGTTAAGTGATAGAACAAGGATTGCCTTTCATGGTGTCTGACTTCAGAATCCACACTCTTGGCCACTTGACCTTGGAGCTTCCCAACTATAGTGATAATAATGAGAGCAATATTTATTGAGCACTTTTCTGTCTTTCAGAAATTGCCCTCAGCTCTATCTTTTGTGTTAACTTACCTAAATAACCTAAGTTCTGGCCGGTACTGTGGCTCAATAGGCTAATCCTCCACCTGTGGCGCTGGCACACCAGGGTCTAGTCCTGGTTGGGGCGCCAGATTCTGTCCCGCTTGCCCCTCTTCCAGTCCAGCTCTCTGCTGTGGCCCGGGAGTACAGTGGAGGATGGCCCAAGTGCTTGGGCCCTGCACCTGCATGGGAGACCAGGAGGAAGTGCCTGGCTCCTGGCTTCGGATCGGCGCAGTGTGCTGGCCGCAACACGCCCACCATAGTGGCCACTTGTGGGGTGAACCAACAGAAAAAGGAAGACCTTTCTCTCTCTCTCTCTCTCTCTCTCTCTCTAACTCTGCCTGACAAAAAAGAAAAAAAAAATTAAATAACCTAAGTTCAGTACTTGGTTCTTGCCAGGGCCCTTGTTGGCTTCTGAGCCTCACTCTACCAAGGTTCTGTGCTTCGGACAGCCCCTTTTCAAAGATCTTTGAAAATAATTGACATGTGCAGAAGACAGCAGTGTGTTGAGTGCATCCAGCAGCTCCGTAGGAGAAGCCTAGCAGAACGTGCCGTGGCACTCAGAGTTTGTGTCATCTTCTGGTATATTCAAGTACTCTATGCTTATCTTTTGAAGGGAATGAAAGTTGTAGAGAGTTTTATAAGAAATGTAAGTTTCATCCTAATGTTTCCAATGGTATTTTGATGTTTATAAGGGAAAGAATGAAAAGCTTTATACCCCGCTTTTTTCCCCTGATTTTTAAATCTTTAGGTATACTTGAACTAGTCAAAAACAGGTGCTTCCCTAGTTTTAAAGTACTTAGTAGTAGAGGCGCTTAAGCATCTGTGGATGCACTTGAGGTTAGTATTATGTTGCCTACAGTTTGTGCCATGGTAGGGAAGCTGAATTATCAGTGTATTGAAGTGCTTCTATCTGTATTTTTTTCTTTTTGTCCATTTGGTTGATTTTTATCAACTTAATTTAGAGCTTTGCTATAACCATTTTTAACATGGTAGGTAGGACCTACCTATGTATTTTTAAGTGTGTATATTTTAATTTTAAGTACAAGTATTAGGTACATATAATAATTAAATCAGTACTTCAAGAATTGAAATGAAAATGAACAGTCAACTTCCCTTCACCTTCCCGTTTCCTCAGCTGGCTTCAGCTCCACAGAGATGTTGACTTTCAGCTCTTTGGAGGTTTCTTCCACAACTTACTTTCAGATTTTTAAATATCTCATGTATTCACTCATCCATATAAGCACACATGAAACTATAGATCTAACAGACTTACACAATTTCAAACATTGTTTGGAACTACTTGTACTTAGAATCTTTTAAAACAGTTTTCTCTAAGCTCACACACATAAACCATGATGTCACTCCCTGTTACAATTGAGAAAACAGTCTCAAAAAGGCTAAATCTCAGGATCGGCGCTGTGGCGTAGCGGGTAAAGCCGCCGCCTGCAGAGCTGGCATCCCACATGGGCGCCGGTTCAAGTCCCAGCTGCTCCACTTCTGATCCAGCTCTCTGCTATGTCCTGGGAAAGCAGTAGAGGATTGCCCAAGTCCTTGGGCCCCTGCACCCATGTGGGAGACCTGGAAGAAGCTCTTGGCTCCTGGTTTCAGATCAGCCCAGTTCCACCTGTTGTGGCCATTTGGGTAGTGAACCAGTAGGTGGAAGATCTCTCTCTCTCTCTCTGCCTCTGCCTCTCTGTAACTCTGCCTTTCAAATAAATAAATAAATCTTAAAAAAAAAAAAAAAAAGAAAAAGAAAGAGGAAAGGCTAAATCTTTGATAAAGAAAAAGTTGTTTCTCTGCTGACAGAACTTATGATTCCAAATGTATGAGTTTTTTTCCATTGCAACAACAAATTCTCCAACTCTCTGGACACCAACTGATTGTCCAATAATTTTCTTCACATCTGATGCTGCCTATCTGGAGTTAGTCCTACAAGACTGCCTTTAGTTCAGGTACTCATTTCATGTCCTGGGGCTCTGGTACTTAATGACCAACTTGATTATAAACCAGAGCCCCTTTTCCCTCTGCACTCAGATTTGAGAATTTGCTACAATGGCTCACAGCACCTCGGGAAACAGTTTATTTACTAGTAGCAGTTTATTGCAAAGGATTTTATAAAGATCTAAATGAACAGCCAGATGAGGAAGTGTATAAGGAACCTCTGCCCCTGTGGAATTTCAAGGTCTACAGCTCTCCTGACAGTGAATGTGTTCAACTCTGTAGCTCTTTGAACCCCATTGTTTATAGAGTTTTTACCGAGCTCCATTATATAGTTGTGATTTATTAAATTATTGGGCATTGTTGATTAGCTCAATCTCCAACCCCTTTCCCCTCCCTGGGAGTTGGGGTTGGATAGGAAAGTTCCATTCCTTAGTCACACAGCTGGTTCCTCTGGCAACCAGTCCCCATCCCAAAGCCATCTGAGAACCACGAAGTTACCTCCTTAACATAAGTTCCTGTAAGTCTGAAAGGGACTTATTATGAATAACAAAAAAAAAAAAAAAAAAAAAAGCTTCTCCAGCTCCTTACCTGGGAAATTCCATGGATTTTAGAAGTTCATTCTTGTAAGAAATCATGGAAATGCTAAATGGTAGATTTTGGTGTAGTCATCTGAGAACACAATTAAATTTATATCTTTGTATAAGTCAAATTTGGGTTCATTCAAGTACTCGAGTCATTTTCCCCTCTTTTTCAGTGCCTAAAGTTAATAAAAATCAACAAGCTTTTACTGTGTGCTTATGCATGAGCCACTTTGTTAATCACTTGGTGCAAGTTACCTCATTGGAACCTCACAAAAATCCCTGAAAGAGTAGGTATTTTTATCACCCCTGTTTTATAGATGAGGAAATGCAGGTTCAGTTAGTTTGAGTAACCTAGGGTTACACAGCCAGTAAACATTAAAACTGATATCTTTTTCAAGTAGATTTTTTATTGAAGTATAATGTACACAGAGAAAGGTACGCACATCCGATTGTTTGATTCATAACTTGATGGATGCATAAAGGGAACATGTCTGTAACTTACAGCCCACTCAAGAAGCAGAACACTGCTAGCATTCCAGAATCCCAGCTTATGCTGTGTCCCCAGCACTGCACCGCCAAGGAGCAGTTCTAGTACATATTTTTATTTAGTGCTGTAGTTTAATTTATTCTATTCTGAATTTCTAAAAACAAAATCGCAGTTATTACTTTCCATTTTTTCCTCTGAATTTAATAATTGTTTTAAAAAGATTTGCTTTCCTTATATCTGTTGTTTTTCATACTTTCTTGTGGTTTTTCATTAATTTTTATTAAAGATCAGTAACCTATCAGATCCAATATTATTTTATTTTTTCTTGGGGTCATTCCTCTTGGAAACCTTCTGTTTTTCTTACATTTAAACTTATTTCCTGAGTAGCCCTCATTTTAGAATTTCTCTTCCCCTCATTCTTGGAATTCCTGTCTCCTTTCTCTTAGGTTGGATTTCTTGTTTCCTGGATCTTCCTCTCTTTTGTATTTACTTCCTTGTTTTGTTCAAGCATATCCTCTAGTAGTTTCAAAAGATGACACAGAGACCAGAGGTAGCGCATGACTGCCTTTAGTATTTCCATCTCTTCAGTCATACTGCTTCAGTCTGGGCCATTTGTTTCTGGCGAATGGTTATCAGTCTCCTTTACTTCTCTCATGTGTTGGAGCATCTATGTTTAAGTACTGTGTGCTTTTTGTTCTCTAATTTTGCCTCCTATTGCAGACTTAATGTTTGTGACTCTTGAAAGTTACTCATGTTGAGGCCTGATCTCTCTGTGGTATGGCTGCATTTGGAGTGGGGCCTCTGAAAAGGTGATCAAGATTAAGTGACTTGGTCTGAGTGGTTCTCCAACCCAGCAGAGATGGTGCCCTTATGAGAACAAAAAAGCAAGATGCAGGATCACTCTCTCCTACGATGAGGGCTCAGGGAGAAGGCAGCCATCTACAATCCAGGAAGCCACATTGACTGTCACCTGGCTCTTGGACTTCTGGCCTCCAGCACTGTGGAAATCAACATCATTGTTTCAGTCACTCAGTCTCTGTAACTTGGTTAAGGCAGCTCGAGCAGATGAAGGCACTTGCCCATTTTGAAGGGCGATGTCCTAAGAAACATTTTTAATCCTCGAATATCTAAAATAACTTTGTTCTTACACTTGGTTGTTTGGCTGAATGAATAATCTAGGTCTGAACTAATTTTCTTTGAGAAGTTTCAGTACATTATTGTATTGCCTTTAAGATTGCTGTGTTGCTTTTGAGAAGTCCAGATCCATTTTTATTCTTGATGTTTTGTATGTTACTAGTACCTGTTTTTTCTCAGTGATACGTCTTGGTGAGCATCTGGTTTCACTAGTTTTGCTCGACACTGGGTTTCAGTCATGGGGCCCATTTCTTCTCATGTCTTTGAGGATCATGATGTTTACTGTTTTCAACCTGTATCAGTGTTGTCTGTGTTCTGTATTCTCATGCTGGGAACTTTATTTTATTCTCTGGTTCTTATCCGTCGGCTGTAGAATAAGTCTTGGAGATGAGAAAGCTGACTAGAAGATATAAGTATGAAACCAGGCCTTGTCCACTGAGGTCTTTCCTGGGACATGATCTGGACGAGTTGTTTGAGAGAACCCTTTCATTCGTATCTTAAGTTCTTTGCTCAGGGCTGATCTGATATCCCCAGAGAGTTCTGATTGCCTGCCAGTAAGAGAGTCAAATGGAGGTTGAAGCGAACTTTGGGAGAATTATTTCTTGCATTCCTTATATGCTGTCTGTATGGCGTTTTTAATTTTAGCAGTGGTTCTTTAGTTCACCCTTCCAAGAGAGCAAACCTCCATCATTCTACCTGGACTCGGGGAACATTTGCCTGTAGAATGGATTGGGGAAAGGATCTCAAGACTCTGCTGCTGCTTTTTTTTTTTTTTTTTAATATGATGTATCAGTTCTTTTTTTTTATTTTTTAGAAGACACTGGAGAAAGCCAGCAAATCAACACAATTATCACCACATGAAAAAGTACTCTTATCAAACCTCTGAGAGTCTGAAGATGTGCAAATATTTCCTTTATCGTGTGTACAGTAGTTGTCTATACTTTTCCATTTAACTGTTTTAAAAATTCTACATACCGCCACTATTTTCTGTCCTAGTTACAATACAATGATGAGGAGCCTCATTTTATTCATCTGAGAATTGAGGAAATATGATATCTTGATCTCTAAGCTATCTTTTAACTCTACATTGTTTCCCAAAGAACCTCCCTTCCCCCTTCTATGCATTTATTTTCCTGTTATCCTTTATTTTTCTATCTTTTCCTTTTTTTTTTTTTTAGATTTTTATTTATTTGTTTGAGAGGCAAAGTTATAGACAGGGGAAGGAGAGGCCGAAGCACTTGGGCCATCTTCCACTGCTTTCCCAGGCCACCAGCAGAGAGCTGGATCAGAAGAGGAGCAGCGGGACAGGAACCTGTGCCCACATGGGATGCCAGCACCGCAGGTGGAGGCTTAACTTACTATGCCACAGCGTGGACCTCGTCTTTTCCTTCTTGATTTCTTTTTTAAAAATTTATTTTCCATAATGTGAATGTATCTCTCAATACCTGAGTTCTCACTATCCAAAAAATTTTAAAAAATAAAGCTCTTGGCCGGTGCCGCGGCTCAATAGGCTAATCCTCCGCCTGCGGCGCCGGCACACTGAGTTCTAGTTCCGGTCGGGGCACCGGATTCTGTCCCGGTTGCCCCTCTTCCAGGCCAGCTCTCTGCTGTGGCCTGGGAGTGCAGTGGAGGATGGCCCAAGTGCTTGGGCCCTGCACCCCATGGGAGACCAGGAGAGGCACCTGGCTCCTGGCTTTGGATCAGTCCGGTGCGCTGGCTACAGTGCGCTGGCTGCAGCGGCAATTGGAGGGTGAACCAACGGTAAAAGGAAGACCTTTCTCTCTCTCTCTCTCTCTCTCTCTCTCTCTCTCACTGTCCACTCTGCCTGTAAAAAATAAATAAATAAAAATAAAGCTCTTACTTGGAAAAAAAGATAGAAATGATAGAGGCTAATTAGAGATAAAAGTCATAAATTTGACCAGGCACATGTTCCCATGTGCTGTGTAGATGATTGTGCTGACATAATTTGGAAATTTTTAACCTAAATCTGACTAAATTAAAATGTCACTACCCACATACATACTCTGGCCAAAAACAAAAGTTGTATATGATTCTGGGTGATAAGGTATGGTGTGTTATCATCATCATGTATCAGCTGTTTTTCCAACCAGTCTGTGTTTTGTGGTCATATTGTATAAGGGTTTGTGCAGTCTTAATATCTTCTAGGATAATGGAAAATCTGTGAAAAGTAAATGAGCATAGGAGAATGAGAATTTCTTGGGGTGAACATTATGACTCAGTGAATTATCGGCTGGGCCGATCCGAAGCCAGGAGCCAGGAGCTTTTTCTCGGTCTCCTACCTGGGTGCAGGGACCCTGCCCTTGAGCCATCATTTACTGCCACACGGGCGCATTAGCAGGAAACTGGATTGGAAGCACTGGGCAGCAAGGTCTTGAACCAGCACTCCAATATAGGATACAAGCATCCTAAGTGGTAGCTTAAGTCACTGTGCCATAATGCGCACCCCAGGTAATTCTCCTTCTACTTGCACCATCTTGTACTGCTTTCCCATGCCATAGCAGAGAGCTGAATCAGAAGTGGCGCAGCCAGGGCTTGAACTGGCACCCATATAGGATGCCAGCACTGCTGGTGGCAGCTTTTCCTACTATGCCACAGTGCTGGCCCCTGTGCATGGCTTTTATGTGCTTGTGAGAAAAATAAAGAAAATTATGATAGTGATGTTAGTTTCAGGAAGACTCACATTTAACTTTAGTATAATTTTCATTCATTATGTATCTTTAACAGTTACTTTTTAGTACATGTTTGTAGGATAGAAGGGAATGTAACATCTGATACCACATATTATATATAAATATACCCACTAACACAAATTCATTAAATAGTAAATGACTCTTTATTGGCATTCCTAATTTAGAACTCCTTGATGGGTTATTATAGAGATATTTAAGAATAGTTAATATTTAGGGAAACTAATTGGGAATTTTATTTTTATAGATTTTATTTATTTGAAAGGCACTGTTACAAAGAGAAAAGTAGAGACAGAGAGAGAGAGAGAGATCTGTTCTATCCACTAGTTCTCTCCCCAAGTGGCTGCTGTGGCTAAAGTTGACCAGGCTGAAGCCAGAAGCCAGGAGCTTCTTCCATGTCTCCCAGGTAGGCACAGGGGCCCAAGCAGTTGGTTCATCTCTGTTGCTTTCCCAGGGGCATTAGTAGGGAGCACCTGGGATGCTTCTGGATCAGAAATGGAGCAGCCGGGATACAAACAAGCAACCATAGGGGATGCCAGGATTGCAGATGGTGGCTTAACCCACTACACCACAACGTCAAACCCATAGTTGGAAGTTTTAGATAAGCTTGAACTAAATTTTCTCTTTCCATTGAAGATCACCCAGTATAGCCTCTTGTGTTGGTAAGCTTTGCCATCCTCCACGTTTTCAGGAATGGATTAGAGGTGGATAGGAGGGTGTCTGTTCTGTCTGTGTTTGCTGTACTGTGAAGAAAAGGCTGACAGCCTCCTTTCCCTGCGTCACACCTTTGTGGTGGCAGTGTTTGTTCCCTGCCTCTCACGTGAGCTCAGGGGCTGTGGCCTAAAGGAAAGGTTTTTTAATTCTAGTGTAAGTTTGCTAACCTGATGTCAGGGCAGAGCTCACTGAATTGGTGGTAGACTTCCTAGTGAGTCACTGATGGTTTTCTACCAAGAAACTGATGTTGTGTCCTTGGTAGTTTTCACTGGAAGCTCAGCAATTTGGGATTCCAATGGGTCATGATTTAGTAAAGATGCATATTTCTATCCCAGTTGACACTGTGGAGCGAGGTAGAGCCATTACAGATTTTTAGTGCTGCCAGATTCTTGAAAAATTTTATTTGTAATGCAGTCTGCCTTCTTCTGGTCTCTTAGGTAGAGAGATAATGTCACAGTATTGGCAGTGTAACCAATCGCTAAAAGCCCAGTGATGGATCTCTCAATAGTGGTAACCTCTTTATTCTTTTTTTCCTCTCTCCATTAAGAATCACATTCTGTAAGAGCTCCAGTTCTTTCCCCACAGCAGCTGCCCCTAAAGGAAAGTGATGAGATACAGTTCAAAAAGGAGCCAAGTGCAGGGGTATATTAATACAGGAAGAGATACTAAATATAACAGAAGGAATGTGCAGTAAATGTTATTTGAGATCAATTCTCAGTGTAGTTCATTTTTCTACCAGTAATAAAAACTTGAGACACAAAAAGGATCTTTAAGTTTGATCATTTAATAATACAATACCAGGGTTGTTTTTTACGGACCAAACTAGTATTATCTTACATTTAAATTAGCATAATACCTGACTGTTTAAGAAAAACATGTATATGTTTTTTTGTTGTTTTAAGGATTAGTATGTAAGTGAATTTTCTTATTTTGAATGTTATATTTTTCTCTTTATTTAAGAGGTTTAGTACTAACTGTTGATGTGTCAGGGATTGGAGAACTGGCCAAAGCGGACTGCCGTCTGTCATCTTAGTACTGGCATCACTCATCATACTCCGTTTACCCAGCTCACAGAGCTTAAGCAATGCTTGGCCCAATGGGGGAGTTGCGGGACTTAATCTTTCCAGTGTGTTGACTAAGAAGAGGAAGAAAACCATATCATCTGCCCTGTTGGCTGTTTCATGGCACATGTGATTGAGGCAGTGCAAACCGAACTAGTGATGTGAAAGCAGGGGCAGGCACTGTGGCTTAGCAGGTAAAACCACCGCTTCCAGTGCCGGCATCCCATATGGGTGCCAGTTCGAGTCCTGGCTGCTCTTCCAATCCAGCTCTCTGCTACGGCCTGGGAAAGCAGTAGCAGATGGCCCAAGTCCTGGGACCCCTGCTCCTGGGTAGGAGACCCAGAACAAGGTCCTGGCTCCTGGCTTCAGATTGGTCTAACTCCACCCATTGTGGCCATTGGAGGAGTGAATCGGCAGATGGAAGTCTGACCTCCCGTGCTCGCTCTCGCGCGCGCGCTCTCTCTCTCTCCCTCTCCCTCTCCTTCTGCCTCTGCCTCTCTCTGTAACTCTGCCTTTCAAGTAAATAAATCTTTAAACAAAAAAGAGAGAAGCAAGGTGGAACCATCATAGGAATTGTTTCTCACCTTTGCCATATTCTTAAAATACATAGAAAATAGCATCAAACTAAAATGAGCTCTTCTGTAAACAGATATATTGGAATTTTCAAGCATCTGAGCCTACCATAAATAAGTCATGTCCCCAAGAAACTTATCACTTTGTTATCACATAATTCACTCTGTCTAGGTATATACTCCTTGCTGAGTTTTGGTAATGCTGCGAATGGGAGGGAAACAGCAAAGGGGTCCTTTGCAAATGTGAAACTACAGGAAGTTACTCACCAGTAGGAAGGATGTGTCCTCCCTGTCCTTTCTTCCCTTCAAGGGGTGATGGCAAGCATAGCAGAGTTACTGACCAAACACCAGTGGTCAGGTAGCGTGATCAATAAGTCTCTTGAGCTGAAAAGCAAATCAAAATGATTAGTTAAGATTAAAAGATACAAATAAATTCATTTCAACAAATAGCTGTGCTTTTATAATGAACTTATGCTAATATAAAGGATAAGATTTATATTTTCATTAAAGGCAAACATTTCTGACCTAATGATTTTGTATTTTAAACATATTGACTCCTTTATTATTCAATGTCCTGTACTTATATAGGTGAGTATAACCATTGCTTTGTAAGAACTATAATGTAGTTTGAAGAAAGGTTCATTGTATGTCTAGATAGAGTGCAGTTTTTAGGTAAATATGAATTGGGTGGTTGTCTGTCTCAGAAAGTTTTTGTTTGTTTTCTGATGTTTTGATAGAATATGGAGGGAGAGATTACAGTGAAGGGATAAAATAAATTAAACTTTATTATAATGACTTGAACAAGTATACCTTTCCTTTCTGTACTTCAAGGATGAAGTAGAGTTAGCTGATGAAAGCTGTACTGGGTCTTAAACAGATAGCATTAAAGCATGTGTAAACCCATCTGGTCATGTTTCTCCAGTGTGTTGTGGGGCTGGAGACATACGCCTCAGCACCCGGCTACACTTGCTGACAGTGCTAAGAACCATTTCCACATGGCAACCCTGATATTATTTCTTCTACTGTAGCAGAAATTGGCCTATAGCTGATGTCATGATTCAGTGGGTTAAGCCACCAACTGCGATGCTGGCATCCCATATGAATGCTGGTTCCTATACAGGCTGCTCCGCTTCCAATCCAGCTCCCTGCTAATGCATCTGGGAAAGCAACAGAGATGGCCCAAGTGCTTGGGCCCCTGTACCCAAGTAGAGGACCTGGATGCAGTTCTTGGCTCCTGGTTTTGGCCTGAGTCAGCCCCAGTCATTGTGACCATTGTGGGTGGAAAATCTCTCTGTGTATCTCCCTCTGTCTCTGTATAATTCTGCCTTTCCAATAAATAACCAAATCTTTTTTTTTTAAGTTGCCTGTAGAAGACAGCCAGTATATACCATATTTTTCAAGTTGAATGTCAGGACAAAGGTTTTATTGTTAATCTAAACAATAACTGTCTTTAAATTATTTTTTAAATTTTTATTTATCTGAAAAAGAGATAGAGACAGACAGACAGATGTGACTTTCTGCTTTCCAGGGTGTGCATTAGCAGGAAGCTGGAATTAGAAGAACAGCCAGGACTCCAAGCCCATACACTCTGATATGGGATGTGGGTATCACGAGCAGTGTCTTAACCTCTGCACCAGACAGCTGCCCCAAATAACTGTCTTTTAGAAGTACATCTTGTTAATTGGCTTCTTAATATCATAATCATGAACATCTCTGAACACTTTGGAAATTTTTGATGAAAAAATAGTCTTTTGTGTACTTCATTGCGTTTTGATAATTTTAGAAATTTTGTTCTGTCTTAAAGTTATTTCATAACAAAGTAGTCACTCTAATTCTGAGCCTTTGTAAAGTAATACTTGTACCTTGACATTGAGTTTGGAGTCAGATCAACTCTGGTTGTTAAAATTTCAGGGTTGGGAACTTTTGCCATCTTTAAATCTGAGTAGCTCTGGCATGGGAAGAAAAACACACGTAGGTATGAAAATACAGATCTGTCTCAACAACTTTTTAGACTTCTGAATTTGCACCAATTATTTGTTGGGAGTATTTTTCTCTGAATTTATTAAAACCTCTCTTATGGATTGATTTTTCAATCTGTGCTGTGTTTTGTTTTCTTTACTTTAGAGCTTTATTTGAAAGGCAGAGTGACGGGGAGGGATGGATGGGAGAAAGAGTCAGAGAGATATCAGTCCCAAGATGACCTGCTGGGCCAGGCCTCTTGGAATTTACCAATTGTGTTTATCTTAATATCAGGATTTGAAAGCACCTCAGGTGAATGTCTAAGGAGCTGTAGCATACAAAAATTATACTTCCCTTACCAGTTTTTCCTTTGACATTCTACATATTTAGGCCATAGATTTTTCTGTACCTCTGTTTCTGGGGCGGGGGGAGGAGGGGTGTGTGCGCGCAGTGGATGGATAAATAAATAAATTTATTTATTTACTTGACAGATAGAGTTAAACAGTGAGAGAGAGAGAGAGACAGAAAGGTCTTCCCTCCATTGGTTCACTCCCCAAATGGCTGCCACGGCTGGCGCTGTGCCGATCTGAATCCAGGAGCCAGGTGCTTCTTCCTGGTCTCCCACGCAGGTGCAGGGGCCCAAGCACCTGGGCCACTGCCTTCCCAGGCCACAACAGGCTGGACCAGAAGAGGAGCAGCTGGGACCAGAACCCAGCACCCATATGGAATGCTGGTGCCTCAGGCGGAGGATTAACCAAGTGAGCCATGGCGCTGGCCCCTATTTCTGCCCCTATTTCTGCTTCTAATCAGATCTCTTTATTTACTCTCCTACTGTGAATTTTTGATATAGTTTCCTAAGTGTGGAAGATGCAAGGTTTTTTGTTTTTTTTTTTTTTTTTTTTTTTCCAATCTTCAAACAAAAAAGTTACTGATATCTGGGGCTGGCATTGTGGCACAGCAGGTTAAGGAACCATCTACAGTACCGGCATCCCATATGAGTACTGATTTGAGTCCCAGTTGCTCCACTTCGAATTCAGCTCCCTGCTAATACACCTGGAAAAGCAGCAGAGGATGGCCCAAGTGCTTGGACCCCTGTACCCATGTAGGAGACCTGGAAGAAGCTCCTGGCTCCTGGCTTCTGGCTTCAACCTGGCCCAGATCTGGTTGTTGCAGACATTTGGAAAGTGAACCAGTGGTTAGAAGATCTCTCCCCTCTCTCTCTCCTTTTCTCTCTCTAACTTATAAATAAATAAATAAAATAAATCTTGCAGAAAAAGTTACTGATAACTGCCTATCCATCCACTGCGCGCACACACCCCTCCTCCCCCCGCCCCAGATTTCTCCTCTGTCATTCCATAGTTCTTTGATGTGACAGGCTGTGATGCTCCTTTCTCCCTTTTTAAGGAATGGTTCTCACAATAGAGGTCTGTTGTTGCCTTGCCAAGTAGTTACTGACTTTATGCTAGCATCTGAAGGTGCCCAGAGTTTGGCTTTTAGACTTACTGGTAGACTAAATGATGTCGTATTTTCAATGTTGCTTTGAAATTATTTGGAAATAATGGATTGCATTGGATTCTTGAAATGAACTTCCCTTTTAGCTTTTCTTTCTTTTCTAAACAATTCATTTTGACTTCTCTGCTAAAACTGAAGCAGAATTAAATTCAGACAGCCTTTTTATGAACACTTATCAATTTATAATTATATTAACTACTCTTATATTCTGTCCTGTCTTTTGCGCTGATCTTCCACTAAAAACAACTGGAGAGTTACTAGTACTATTGATTTCTGTTTCAAATCCTGACTTACATGGTCAGTTTCTTACCATTTCTGCTGTTACCAATCTAGTACAGACTCAAAGTATCTTTTGACTAGACCATTACGTTAGTCTCCTATCCATTCTTAGGACTTCTGGTTTCATCTTCTAAGATATTTTGTTGTTGTTGTTGCTTTTAAGATTTATTTACTTATTTGAAAGTCACAGTTACACAGAGAGGGAAGGAGAGGCAGAGAGTGGTCTTCCATCTGCTGGTTCACTCCTCAATTGGCCACAATGGTTGGAGCTGCACCCATCTGAAGCCAGGAGCCTGGAGCTTCTTCCAGGTCTCCCACGTGGGTGCAAGGGACCAAGGACTTGGGCCATCTTTTGTTTTCCCAGGCCATAGCAGAAAGTTGGATTGGAAATAGAGCAGCTGGGACTTGAACTGGTGCCCATATAGGATGCTGGCACTGCAGGCGATGGCTTTACCCGCTATGCCACAGCACTGACCCCACCAATTTAGTTTTAAGGAGTGCTTCGTTGTCTTCCTATTGCCCTAAAATCCCAGGATTCTGTTAAAGCTCTTTTTAATAAAAAAAACCTGAAAAATAAATGATTATTCAGTATTGTTTATATGACTTACTTTTAAAGAAAAGGAGGGGCATTAACTATTACTTCAGAGGAAACAACCAACCGTATTTATTGCTAATGATGATTCAAGACTAAAAATGAAACTTCCACCTTAAGCTTGATAGCGTCCCAGTTCTTAATGACTTCTCCCGAAGGTCGATGAATGTGATTTTTGGATATTATGTAATGAGTAGTGTCCATATTTGGAAAATCTGCAAAGCTGTATTTAGTATTTTCTAAATGATTAGTGCCATGGAGCAGGTATTTGGCCTCTCAGTTAAGAAACTCCCGTCCCCTATCGGAGGTTCCACATCATTGTGCCAAAGTTCAATACCTGACTCTGTGTCTTGACTCCTGTTTCCTACTAATGCAGACCCTGGGGCCCAGAGGTGATGGCCTGAGTATTTGGGTTCCTACCACACATGTGGGAGACCTGTACTGAGTTCCCAGCTCCTGGTTTTGATCTTCACCTGGCCTCAGCCATTATAGGAATCTGGAGAGTGACCCAGTGGATGGGAAGTTTCCTTCTGTTTCTCTCTCTGTTTGTCTCTTCTCTTTCACTTAGCAAAAGAAAGAAGCAGATTTTCAGGTCCTTAGCCCAGACCAAGATAGAAATGTGATTTTGAATGTTACAATTTGAAAAGTTCACTGATGGGTGGTTTCAAATTCTACAGTATACTGATCTTTTTTTTTGGGGGGGGGGGGCTTATATCTTTATTTATCTGCAGGGAGATAGATTGATGTTTGCATCCATTTGTTCTTTCCCCAAATGTCTGCAAAAGCTAGGTCTGGGCCATGCTGAAACCAGGATCCAGGAACTCCACACTGGTCTTCCATATGGGTGACTGGGGCCCAAGTACTTTGACCATCTTCCACTGCCTTCCCAAGTGCATTAGCAGGAAGCTGGATCAGAAGTAGGGTAGCTGGGTTTCAAACTGGCACTCCATTCTGGGTTGCCAGCATCACAAGTGGTAGCCCAACCCACTGTGTCACAACACCAGATCCTGTACTTGACTTTTAACAAGCAACTGTTTGTTGTGTTCTGGTACAGTATTAAAGAATATCTATAATTATTTGTAAATACTATTGAAATACTCCTTCTTTCCTAACTATTATCTGTGAATCCAGATTTTCTTCACGTGCATCAAGCAGAACAACAACATAATAAATATAAAACATGTATCAAAATGCAGGTGTCTTCTGTTAAGCTAACCTTTAAAGACATTTGCAAAAATATAAAACAGTGTCAGTCTTCTAACTTATTTTTTGTTTTGGCAAATAACTGTTATTGAAATGTATCATTAACATTTATTTGTGTTAATATCCAGTAGGATTATTATTATTATTAAATGAATGCTTGTTTTTAAAAATCTGTTAGTTTTAATTTTTAAAATGGCAAATGTTGATACAACCCACATAAACTCATGATTTTTAAAAATCGTAGGGAACCTGAGCTCAAAAAATCTGAGACCTGCTGATCTTTGCTTTAATATCCATTTTTAGAGAAGTGCTTTCCAATGAGATCCAAAGAGTTACCACTCAATTTTTAATCTGTTTTAAAAAATTATTTAATTTTTGTAATGGGGCCAGCATTCAATGTCCTTAGTATCCTCATAGGAATCGACAAAGCAAATCTAAAATTGTTTCCAATTTTGCTATTAAGATTCTTCTTTGTGATTCTAAGTTAGTTATCCTTTTCCCTAGTGAATTTTAGATACTAAGTATAATTAGAAGTAAGAAATTGAAGTATGTCACTGGAGCAAAAAATAACGATTTGTAGGATTGGTAAGGCAAAATAGGGCAAAAATCCGAGCTTTTTATCCTGGTCTTATAGTTGTAGTATAGAGGCTTTCCTTATATACTGTTAAACTTTCACTTAATATGGATAATTCAATAAAGCAAATTAAACCTATAGATTATTTTAAAATGTATTGTGTACTTATTTTAAGTAAAATGGCTTTTAAATCTTAATCCAGAAATGCTAAAAAAAAAAAGAACAAAAACAATCACTTCTCTCTTACTTTCTTCTATGCATTCTTATAAAATTATTTTTAGTGGGCATTAATAGAAAAAATATGAAGCTATAAAACCTTTAAGATAGCTAATCAATCAGTTTAGAATTTTGGTAAATATAGAAATAGCACTTCCTTCTTCACCCTGCTGTTAGCATGGAGAGTGTGGTTAAGGGTCCCACAATGTATGAGGCATTATCAGATTTCACAATGGCTGATGAGAAGCCAGAGCAAAGTTCTAGCTGCACAGAAGGCGAACATTAGACCATGAGACTAAGAAAACTACTCAGGACCACACAGAGAAGAGAATTTAAGTATTCTGAAGTTCAGTGTTGTTGCAGATTTATATTTTGTCAGGTAATCTGGGTTATGCACATGGTCTATCTTCTTGCATTTCTGTAGATCATACAGTTACCCTACAGTGGGCAGTTTAGTTCACCCATGACTAACCTACATAATAAAGTTAGTCATTTGAATGAATACTTGTCTAGGCCACAAAACCACCTTATTTCCACATAAAGTAGGTGCATCCCTTTCTGTTGAAGTTGTCTTGGTATTTGACTCTCAGAATAGACATACATTATGGTAAAAATCTAACCCATTTGTTTGTTCAAATCATATGAAGAAAATTAATTTTGACATGACTTTTAAGCATGGGCAAGAATATCTTATGTTTCTAAAAGGATTAAGAGTTAGCTTCTTCAAACCTTTTTATGATAATTTTGATTATCTACTTGAGAGAGGAGAGATCAGTCTTCCATCTGGTGGTTCACTTCCCAAATGTCTGCATCAGCCCGTGCTGAGCATAGCAGCAGCCAGAAGCCAGGAATTCCATCCAGATCTCCCACATGAGTTCCAGGAGCCCAGGAGCTTGAGCCATCATTTGTTGCCACCTAGGATGCATTAGCAGGAAGCTGGATCAGAAACACAGTAGCCAGGACCCAACCCAGCACTCAGGTATGGGAAGCAGTTTAACCTACTACATAATAATGCCTACCCAGGCTTTGAGAAATCTTGAAATGCAAAAAAAACCTTAGAACAATTTAAGGTACAGTTGTAATATAAACTAGTTTTAAAAAATATTTGTTTCATTTATTTGAAAGGAAGAGAGAGAGAGATCACTACTTGCTTGCAACAGCTGAGACTGGGATGAAGTCAGGAACCAGGGATTAATCTGGTGTCTCATGTGACTGACAGGGACCCAAGTGCTTGAGCCATTATCTGCTGCTTCACAGGAAGCTGGAATTGGGAATGGAGGCAAGACTTGAACCCAGGCACTCAGATATGGGATGCAGGTGTCCCAAGTGATGTCTTAACCACTACATCAAAACCCTGCCCCAGTTGTAACATAAAGTATTTTAAGATGTTTAGATTACAAGGGGAGAGTCTAAGGTATAGGAGAGATAATAGATGTGAACTAGAGATTCTACAGATGCAGCTGTGGTGCTGTGCAAAGTGCAGAGGAGATAGAAGCAGAAAAACAAGAGGGGGGAAAAGGGAAAAAACAACATTAGGATTAGTATCATTTCTAGCCAAGCCCTAGTAACACTGGTTCTTGGACCTTGGATTATCCTTGGGAGTAGTTGATAAGCTCCCCAAAACAGACAAAGCAACAAGTTTGGATAAACTTACAGAGAATAGGAAATTAAGCCAGAAGGAACAATGAAGATAATATTACACACAGAAAGGGAGTGTAAGAAGAGAGACATGCATCTAGCTGCTCTAGGTGACTTGTTGCTTACTTTCTGCAGAACTCTGGCTATAATTATGTATATTTTGTTTATTATTGCATAAGCAATCTAGGAAATCATTTGCATTTCCCTGAAGTCAATACCAATAATACCTGCCACACTGTAATAAGAGACAAAAAGTCTGCAGAAAGCACGGGTAATAAAAAGACTTCTCTAATAGATAGAATATGCTTAGTTATGATTTACAGCTCTGTTGCTGTCATGGGTGTTTGTTTTCTAATTTCTGCAGTTTGATTTGTTCCTTTAGCATAATAACTAAATAGTAATAAATAATGCATTTAGAATAATCATCACAGTACACTCCTGGGAGGAATCAGTCCTTCATGGCTAAGGAACTTTTCATATATAGTGAACTGTCACAGAAGCCTTATTTAATGAATCTAATGTGTTCTGATAGTTACATACCAAGGTTTACAGCAGCCCAAGTGAATAATACATAAGAAAAAAATTTGGTATTTTAAGGAAATGAGACTTTGGGGAATTGTTGAGACATTTTTTAGTGTTGGCACTCCCACCCTGTCTTTAAGATCTCCCTGTTTTTAAGATCTTACTGGCCCCTAGTGGTAACATGATAATATAGTTTAAACCTTTCCAATTCTCGAGAGTTTAAAGCTATTTTGAAGGCATAGTTTGCCAATAATTTTACTCTCTCAGTTCTGGGTCAACAGTATTTTCAAAATAGACATGTAACGTCCACTTCTTTCTAAAGACAGATAGCTGTCTCCAGTGTTCCTGTCTGCATCACCTTTTTCTTTTGAATACTGTTGATTTAGCCCAGCAGCAACCTTCCATTATTTCAGTGTTTATTCACCAGTGACTCCTATGTCACGTTTGACATCCAGAGCGATTGAGCCTCTGCAGATTGTCCTTGTTCTGTTCATAACAATTTTAATAGTCTCGAGAAAAAATTTCAGTTCACCATGGAAATTCAAGTTAAGGTTTAGCTGTTTTTTTTTTTTTTCATTTATTTTTGAAGAGTCTTAGATTTGAAGTACTGATTTACGAAGCCTAATAGTTTTCCACTTTTGTTTTCCTCTTGTGCTCCATAGATGTTAAAGGACCACCTACCCACCGCCTGTCTTGCGGTCAGTCCCCCTACACTGAGACAACAACATGGCAGCGGAAGTATTGCATCCTTACCGACAGCCAGTTGGTGTTGCTCAACAAGGAGAAGGAGGTAAGATGGATCTTATTGAAGAAGGCTACTTCCTTTTATGAGCAAATTCCTGAAATTATCTACGTCTGTTTGCATTTTGATAAGCTATGTTATCAAAAGAGGCTTTATGCATTCTGAACTGGGTAAGTCTAATAGCTATAATATGCTATTGCCATGAAAGAATGAGCTCCACAAGATAGGGCTGGATTTTCACTAAGGAAAATGACAAGAGAGATTTAAAATCAAGTTGAGAAATGTGGAATGAGAATTGATTGCATTCTGTAGACCTAACCCTGCAAACGCGCTGGAGGGGCTTTTGAAATTGTTATCAGTCTCACTCCTAACAAAAACAAATGGCATACTCAGTGGATTAACTGATAGAGGTTTAATAAAGGGACAACTTCGAAATCATAGCATGGTGAGACGGGAGCTAGCAACTAGCAACGACAGAAAGCAGTTATCACCCCGAATCTGCAGGGCAAGGGAAGGAAGCAATATTTCTGGCCCCGTAGTACTGTTGTCGCCTGAGAGGGCTGCAAGGCTGTTGCTGTGGTTCTACACAAGTGAGCACACCCTCTACCATGATACAGATGGCCAGCAAGGCGGGAGTAAGAAGGAATAAACACCCAAACTTGTTTTCCTTCCTGCTAATTTCTTGCCAATGTCTCTGGCTTGAAGGCAGGAAAGAATTCTTTTGGCAAGTTCTAGAGAGGTCAGCTTCCTGAAAAACATATCAAGGGAGAGAAGGGCAGGGAGTGTGGTCTGTCTGAAAAGGCACATAGAGTATAACAAGCATAGAATCCAGTTCTAGGGACAATTTCGATTCCTCTGAACTAGACAGTTGTGTTTATCACACCCTATTACTGCTTTGCTCCTCAGAGTTTACAGTGCACATGTTTGCCCACTTATGAATCACTCACTTGTTTATTGGTGTCTAATTAGATAGTTGATACCATTCCGGTTTGATAGAGCTAGAGAAACATTGCCAACATCTATCTCAGGGGGGGAAAATGAGTATGATCTTGACAAGGAACATTGATAACAGAGGGGAGTAGGGGAGGAGAAGAAAAGATCTGATTCAACAAAGGAGAAATATTAATTGCCACAAATTTCAGTAACTAGGAAGATAGTAGAATATGCATTCAGTAAGTGTGTTCAGGAAAAGCAGGCAAGAGTGACGTTTCTGAATTCTCACTGTGAATCTCCACCTCCCTCTTCTCTTGCTCCTCCTTCCCTGTCCTGCTCTTTTTTATTCCTTCTCTTATTCCGCATTTCTTTAATATGGTAAAGAGAATTATAATGAAGCATTTTCAGTTTCTTCTTAGATTGTAGTAGGCAGTGCTTACTTAAGAGGTCTACCTGTTAGGCCTCCATGAAGAAGTTCCTTATTCTTTTGCTTTAGCCTTTGATAAATATTCCTGAGTTTGTTATTATCTGCCTACCCAAGGCCCTTTTCAAGTATTCTAATAGTAATTTACTTTTATTAAAATAATTTAATAATGATCAGCCTTTTCCAGGATGGTCTCAGATGTGTAGCTCTCTGGGTATTAAATATAACATAATTAAAATTGGTAGAGTAAATGAGTATTAATATAGATAATGTCTCATTACCCAGTTTGAATAAATACATAAATCAAAATGCTCATTTTCAACCAACCTACTCTGTGAGCAATCTTTTACTAGCACTATTTATAAAGAATGATATAACCACATCATTTGCCATCTTTTTACCATTACCTACGTTTTACTGGGTTTAGTACCATTGGAAATGAAATAGACTGAGGATAGATAGCATATGATCAACAGCATGTCTTATCCAGAACCCAGATACAATCCATTGATTAAATAGTTCTGGTTAACCAAGTAACCAAGGCCTAGGCCCCCTTTTGTTCCATAAAACTAACTGTCCATAGTATATTTTTTTTAAGATTTATTTTATTTAATGTATCTGAGATAGAATTAGAGAGAGAGGTAGAGACAGAGAGAGAGGTCTTCCATCTGCTGGTTCACTCCCCAGATGGCCACAACAGCTGGAGCTGTGTGGATCCGAAGCCAGGAGCCAGGAGCTTCCTCTGGGTCTCCCATGTGGGTGCAGGAGCCCAAGGACTTGGGCCATCTTCTACTGCTCTCCCAGGCCATGGCAGAGAGCTGGATTGGAAGAGGAGCAGCCAGGACCAGAACTGGCGCCCATATGGGATGTTGGCGCTTCAGGCCAGGGCTTTAACCTGCTGTGCCACAGTGCCGGCCCAAATAGTAAATTTCTAAAACAATCTCTTATGGACTTAAATGCTTTATCCCCGTTTGTGCCAGTCATCATGAGTAGTCCTAGATACCTGGAGCCCTCTGCTCTTCCCAGGGCTCTAGGTTACCCCCTTCTCTGACCCTGTTTTCTACCTTCTGAGTCCCTTTCCTGTATCTGCTGCAGGTCAACAAGTCAGCTGTTTCTTTGAGCTCTTTTGTGGCAGACTCCTGGGGTCATTCCTGAGGACACCATCTTCCAGAAGTCCTGCAGAGGGAGGGCTGGCGGGGACGGACATCTTCTCCTTTCATGCCTCCTGGTGATGAGTTTCCCTGAAATGCTCCAACTGAATCTCAAGTTTCAGTTACATTCCAGCCCCCCCATGCCATTCCATCACTGCTCCTCATTTTTGGTTGATTTTGTCTCTCAGGTCATTATCATGATCTCCAAGGCCACTCTAATCTGAAAGTTTTGTGATTCTAGTGTCCACAGAGATGATCCACTCAGCACATTGACTCTCAGTTCTTTGAACTCGTGTCCTGCTGGAATCTGCTCCTTTAACCACCTTATCACTGCAGTTCCTTCATATTCTCAATTGTGTGTATCTTACCCTCTGACCACCACCTCCCATCTTTCCAGTTCATCCCCTATTCCAATAATCCGCAACCCTTCTGGGACTGTTGATCCTATCAATATTTTTGTTTCTCATACTTCTAATCTCCATCCTGAATTCTATGGTCAGTCATTCTTTTTTCTCCCTCCCCCCTCCCCCCGCCCTCCCCCCTCCCTTCCAAGGCAGAGAGACAGAGGGCATGTGTTTATCTACTGCTTCACTCCCCAAATGCCTACAGTGGCCAGGACAGGGTCAGGCCAAAGCTGGGACCCAGGACCCAGTCTAGGTCTCCCATATGGGTAGTGGGAACCCAGCTACTTGTGCCGTCACCACTGCCTCCCAGAGTCTGCACTAGCAGGAAGCTGGCGTCAGGAAATGGAGCTTGCAGGCCTCCTGAATGCTGTCTTCACGACTGTGTCAAGTGCCCATCTTAGTCATTCTAATCGCTCTCCTGCGTGCTGTCTCCTTGTCCTTCTCTTGCCTCATCGTACTCAGCAAAATGATAGCTTCGCTAAATCCTCCTTCTCATCGACTCTGCACTGCACATGTGCAGCTTAGTGTTTCTAGGCAAAATCATGCAATCCTGCTGATTTGTTCTTAAAAAAAAAAAAAAAAAAAGGACCAAACAGGTGTATTTCTGTTGGGATATCTGATATAGAGAATAGAGTGGTACAGATGGGTAGTATGAATAACAGAAAATAAAATATATTTTATTTGAAATAAACAAAAACCTTTAACTTAGTGGGTTACTTGAAAACAAACTCTTGCCTGATTGTATTTCCAGGCAAAAACAAAGCTGAAGCACAAACACCCTTCTTTTTTCACATGTATTTGGAAACAAGTAGGAAGACTACTTGGTTTCTTAAAAAACTGACCTCCCTTAAGGCCTGGTCTAGATGCATAAATAATGTAAGTGAATCCACCATATCCAGTTGTCATATCATTGTTACCTATGAGTTCCAAGATCACATACGTACCTGCAAATATACCTGGGAAGGGACACTATATCCTGGTTACGTTTGAGTTCTTGGCAGACAGGACTGAGGAAAAGTAATCTGAAACAAGTATTGTATCCTATTTACAAGAAATCATTAGTATTCCCTTAAATAACAAGTTACAATAGAAAGATACTGCCTGAAAGTTAGCCTTTTCACTTTGGTTCATTTTTCATATTTGTGATTTACGTTGTTCATTTGCTTGTAGCACAATCCTGCCACAAAGTATTTAAAGTGCAAGATAACTATTATTTCTTCAGAATCTGCATTTTTCAAGTTTTATACTCTATTATATTCACAGTGGGTCATCATTTCTTGACTTTTTTTCTTTTTTTTCAAAGATGTATTTATTTTATTTGAAAGGCAGAATTACACAGAGAGAGGGAGACACACACACACACAGAGAGAAAGAGATTGATTTTTTAAGGTTTTTATTTAATGAATCCAAATTTCATATGTACAGCTTTTAGGAATATAGTGTTTCTTCCCCCATTCCTGTCCTCCCACACCTACTCCTATCCCACCTCCTACTCCCTCTCCCATTCCAGTTTTCATTAAGATTTATTTTTAATTCACTTTGTATATAGAAGACCAACTCCATACTAAGCAGAGATTTCCACTGTTTGCAACCACACAGTCACAGAATTATAAAGTACTGTTTGAAGACAGGTTTTACTGTTAATTCTCAGATCTTCATCCACTGGTGCAGTGGCCAGGGCTGTGCCAGGGTGAAGCCAGGACCAGGAGCTTCTTCCAGGTCTTCCATGTGCATGCAGGGGCTGAAGGACTACAGCTTTCCCAGGTGCATTAGCAGGAGCTGGATCACAAGTGTAGCAGCCGAGACTTGAACCGGTACCCATATGAGATGCAGCACTGCAGGCTATGGCTTAATCTGCTGTGCCACAGTGCCAGCCCCACTGACTGGTCTTTAAACTAATGGCTGCAAAGTCCATGTGAGCCCTTAATGCTGGTTGGCAATCACAGTCCAGTTCGGTTACTGTCGTACTATCCTGGATTAGAATTTCTCAGTCTATCTGTGGGGAAACTTCAGTCCACATCCTATTTCATCCTGATCAATAAAATAAAGTAAATTGTTAAGAAAAATGATATTTTATTTATTGACTCATTTTAACAATATATTTTTAATTTTATTTGAAAGACAAAGATAGCAGGG